GGGGAGGGGGGCACGCTGCAGGAGGATAGGGACCCAGGCTGCGAAGGCCGTGGCCAGGGCTGGAGGTCAGGGCGCAGGGGCCGGGGTGTCTGGGGCCTGGGGATTGAAGTTTTGAGGGGGAGAATTTGGGGGACACTAGCTGGCGAGTCATGGGGTTGGGAAGCCGTAGGTCTAGTGGGTCAGGGATCAAGGGATCTAGGGCTAGGGCTGGGATCCTGGGGTTGAGCATCGTTCGAGGCTGGGGGTAGACGGGGCTAGGGGGTCCCTTTCCCCCCTGCAAAAGGCCCATGGGAATATCTAGGAGACCCCAGCTTGACGCCATAACATTGCAATCCCTGTGAGCTAGTTGTGAGGCACGCGCGTCCCGCTCCTTCGGAAAATCTACGCCCGGGGCTCCGGGACCAACACACCAACGACGTGCAAGGGGACCCGCGACCCTGGAGGGCGGAGCGTGTGGAACCTGAAGTTAAGCCTGGTTCCTCAGATAATTCATGCTCAGGGTCCCAGACCTGTTTTGGGACATCGCTGCGGGGTCCACAGAAAATGTGAGGGGACCTTGGACCTTTGCCATAGAAGACTCTATACCTTTGAGGGTCCCGGAGCCCTGTCTTCAGAAAATCCCACCCTGGGGCTGGAGGGTATGACTTTGGGAGCCTTCCCTAAAGTGGTATGGACTCTGTGGCGTCCATCATCATAGCAATTTCTATAGCCTTGAAGGGGTAGGTTGGGTACCTGGGAAGGGGCCCTGATTCCCTCAGAAAATCCCCCCATGGGTCCTGGGCCTGACTTTGGCATTGGGGATCACAAATTCCCCCCCAAATGGGAGGGGACTTCTTTTGGTGGCTGTTGGTGCCACTTGAACCCAGTTGAAGAAGCGTACCCTGCCCCATGAGTTTTATTTTGGAGGACCAGATTCAGTTTCTTTCCCCACAGACCCACAGGAAGCATGAAAGACCTGTTTGTCTGTTGCATTCTCAGCCAACCCTGTGGCTGATGAGGTTAGTGGATCAGGAGAACAGATAGCCTGAGAGCGGGGGCCTCCTGTGTTATCAGAAGGCCAGTGCCTGGTTCCAGGGTGTGACTTCTGGACCAGATTTGCAAAAGGTTTCTTGTGCCTGTTACGATGGTGGTATTGTACACCGGTGAAGGGGTTGGGAGCCAGGGCCTGGGACTATGAGGACCTGATTACTATGTAATCCTCAAACAACCAGTGAGGCAGGTACTCTTATTATTCCCATGTTACAGACGAGGGAACGGAGTCTCAAAGGGGTATTTGACTTGCCCAAAGAAACACAAACCAGGCTCTCAGACATATTCTGAATCTTGATGCCCCAATGGTGAGAGTGTTGTCAGTCTGTCTGAAACCAGAAAGATGCTGCAGTAACAGGGTTTAGGGGATGCCTGTGATTCAGGCCTGAGGCCCCTGATTCAGATTTCTGCCCAGATTGCTGCTTTGTTTTGCTTTTTAGATTTCTGATCCAGTTTCCCTCTCCTCATGTTACAATGAAGGGGGAAGGTAGGAGGATTGAATGTTTAAGGCACTACTTGAAAATTGCATGAATCAGATGATCCTTTGTTCTGTGGCCAGCTTGGGGAGCCAGGGTAATAAATGGTATTAAGAAGTCTGGCTTGGGAACCAGACACCTGGGTTGGATTCAGTCTGTTATTAGCCTCCTTAAGCTATTTTCCCCCTTTGTAACTCTACCTTCCTCAGCGAATTGTTAGGAGGGTCAATTGAAATGAAGCATGTGGTGTATAGCATTTAACTAATGCTGGGTAAGTGGAACATGGTAGTACCAACATTTTATTGGGTTTTCTTATAAGCCTTGTTCTAAGAATCCCCTGCAAATGGACTTAATAAAGCTCTTGTTTCTTTTTCCTCCTATTCAGGGTTGGGGGAGCATTTTAAAGCACTCTCATTTTTACACCCTTCCTAAAACAGGAGAATTTTGTCCTTGCTCCCTGAATTTCTTTCCAGGGATGTTGAAGATCAAAGTTTTCAATGTTTTAGGAAGACTGAATTGGTGTTCTGCTTTCAAACTCTGATTAGAATAATACTGAAGAAATATTTGTAGTTGCCAGAATACCCAGAGTTCACCAGCCTTTCATGAAAGAATGAAATTAAATTTAAAAAATTTTAACATTTCCCCCAAAGTTTGGAAGGTAGAGAAATGTCACCAATAGTCCAAGTCTCCATTTACTATTGTTTTTGTAAATTCTTACAGTTTTTTAAAAAATAATCATTCTGCTATAACTTTAATACCACCTATTCTTACTTCATTTTATCATCTTTAAAAGTTTATCCATTTTTAGAATGGCGATTATGTTCTCTTTTCACTGTTGGGTCAAAAGGGACATATTAAGTGACATTGGTGATTACTTTGCATATTGGAATGAGAAACTTGAACATAAACTGTCCTGTGGTAATCTTCCTACTGAATCTTTTTTTTGGTTTTTTTAGTGGCTGGCCAGTATAGGAATCTGAACCCATGACCTCAGAGTTATAAGGCTATGCTTATCCAGCTGAGTTAACCAGCCAGCCCCTTCCTACTGAATCTTAAAGTTCTTCTGGTGTGTGTTTTTCAATAGGTATGAGCATTCTCCAGGGAAAGGATGACATATTTTTGGACGTGAAACAGAAATTCTGGAACACGTATAAGGTAAGACGACAGATTTTTGAAAATGTAATCAATAACTTTTTGCATATATTTAATGTTAAGTACATTTTAATAAAACTATTCTTAAATTATGGCTCCAGTTGGGTTGGCAAAAGGATCCAATATTTTGATAGAGAGATCTTAAATTTGTTTCGATAGACGAGTGACAAGAGATGTTAAGAGCGTCTATATTTCTCATGAATTGGAAAGAAATACGAATAATATCTCTGAATTTTAGTCAGTGTTCACAGTGATTTCTGACTGTATTATATTTACTCTTACTAGTGATCACAATTTACTTAGTAAATTTTGGAGCCTGTTTGCAAAATAGGAATTGTAGGATGGAAGTGGCTTAATGTGATCATTGCCATGTTCAGAGCCAGTGTTTCCAGGTGTGCATTCTGCTGAGTCTTTGTGAAAAGAACTTTCTTAACATCACACAGGTATTGACAGAGAGGATAATGTTTCCTAGGGTTATCCCTAGGCTTAAAGCAAGTCACCTGTTATACTGTTTGCTTAGTACAAATCTATGCAATCCAGTCCAACAAATGTTTATTCACTTATTCAGTGAAGATTTATTGACTGATGTCCTTAAGACCTGGCAAAATTGGGGGTGTTTTCCATTTCTGTACTGTTTGCTTAGTACAAATCTATGCAATCCAGTCCAACAAATGTTTATTCACTTATTGAGTGAAGATTTATTGACTGATGTCCTTAAGACCTGGCAAAATTGGGGGTGTTTTCCATTTCTGGCCTTTTATCAAACATGATGTTGTTTATGTGAATTTTCAGGGTTCCAGAATAATTAGCTTAGGGTTTCACATGTACTTAATTCTCTATGAAAGGCAGTGCCAAGCTGCACCCAGTTGCTACCTGCACTGCTTCTAGCATCTGCTGAATGGTTCTGAGCCCCAGACTGGCATCACCCACTTGATGGTTAGAGGCAGTCGAAAATGAGAGTGCAAGCCATAGGCCTCCCCTGAGTCCCTGTACTCAGGGACAGTTCCTACAGGGAAAGAGTGTTCAGAACTCTTGTTACTCCTCTTGGGGCAGAAGGTGTGGGTTCATGGTGACATCCAAATGTGATTTTCTTCTGCTTTATTTTGGAAAAAGGAACAAGTTTTCCTATGGTATCATGGGCCTGTGGAGATGTATAGCTATCCCTTAGTATCTGTGGGAGATTGGTTCTAGGACCTCCCACAGATACCAAAATCCACAGATGCTCAAGTTCCTGATATAAAATGGCATAGTATTTGCATATGACCTATGCACATCCTCCTGTCTATTTTAAATCATCTCTGGATTACTTATAATACCTAATACAGTGTAAAGGCTATGTAAATAGTTGTTATACTGTATTGTTTTAAAATTTGTATTATTTTTTATTGTTGTATTGTTTTTTATAATTGTTTTGTTTTGGTTTTTTTCTTCAATATTTTTTTTTTCCTTTTTGTCTTTTTTTACTGACCAGTAACGGGATCGCAACCCTCGGTGTTGCGCCCGCACCGTGCTCAGCCAGTGAGCAGGAACCGGTCTCCACATGGGATCTGAACCCTCGGCGGGAGCGCCGCCACACTCCCAAGCGGCGCTCTCTCCAGTGCGCCACCGGGCTGGCCCTTTTCAATATTTTTGATCCATGGTTGGTTGAATCTAAGAAGCAGTACCTGCAGATATGAAGGGCTGAGTGTACATCTAACATTTAAAAAAAGAACAAGAAGCAGAATTGGGAAAGCAGGACTTTAAGTAGGGATTTGCTGATGTTTTGGAGTCTCCTCCCTTAATGCAGATGTACAGGCTGCCTTTTTGGGCAGAAAAAGGGGGTCTTTTGCATACCTATTTAAAAAATAGTGGTCACAATGTGTTAGTGTCATCTATTCCCATGAGAAGAAAGGGGGTACCAGCAGTCTGAAGCCCAGCCCCACTTGGAGACTTTTTTGGAAGATCTCCCATAATAAGAAACTATCTGCCAGGCGCTGCGCTAGGTGTTATGGAAAGATATGAAAAAACATATAAAATACAGATACTGTCCTTAAGGGACTTAGAGTCTAGTGGGATGGATAGACAAATAAATAAATCACTACCTGGAATGTTACAAGAAATGCTGTAGGGTCCCAGAGCAGGTGGACACTTAGCACAGTATGGAGGTGTGGTGGTAGGGATCTAGGAAGGATTCCTGGGGCAGATGATGCCTGAGCTGAGTCTTAAAGAACAGTTAGAGTTAGGCGAATACTTGGGGACAGAGCATTACAGGGACAGGAGGAGCTGAACAGAGTCAGCAAGGCATATAACATTGTGACATGCCTGTAGGGGAGAAACCACATGCAGTGCGGTATTCATAGAGTATTAAATATGAGTTGCGGAGCAAGTGGGAACCAGTTTGGATCTTGGAGGGTGTTGAATGCCATGCTGAAGATCTTGAGCTTCACCCTTAGGTAATAGCAGCAAGAGAAACCAGTCAGGGGTTATTACAACCAAGCTCACGTAAAAATAAGGAAACAGTGGGCATGAGAATGATTTGAGAAATATTTAGAAGGTAGAATTGGTAGGTCTTAACGACTGATTGGAAGTGGGGTAATGGAGGACACATCTAGGAAGACTCACAGTTCTAGCTTCAGCAACTACGTGGGTGGTGGGTCATCACTTGAGATAGGACATAGAGGAAAGGGAGCCAATTTGAGAAAAAAAATGAGTTCAGTTTGGGAAATGTTGGATTCCAGATGCCTTTAGGATGTTCAAAGGGAGATTTCCAGATGCACAGGGTAGAGTTCATTGCTGTGTTTATTTACAGTGCTCAAGTGTCCCAGATTTGGCCAGTGGGAGTCCCTTCCAGCTGGTTCCTATGTCCTTGTGACATCCCCCATCTTTTTCCTTTTTTTTCTTTTGTTTCTAACCACTTCCTTTACTTTCTGGAATAATAAAATGTTCCAGGCTTATCTCGTACCTTGTACCTGGCCCTGGCATCAGCCATTTCTCTGAGGAGTCCTGATTCCTTTTTGTGGGGAACGGTATAAGAGACCAAGATCTGGGCACTAGATTATACTACATTCTGACAAGAGAAAAAATGGCTGATATAAAGTAAAGCCATGTTTGGATGGGTTTAGTCTTCTGATTAGTTTTGCTAAAGTATTAAATTCTTAAATGAATATACACTTCAAATATAAAATATATATTATATGTAATATATTTTTAAAAACATACAAATACATATTAAAGCTTTTATTGTAACTGTTTATTTTAGAAAGTTTGGAAAATACAAATCAGTAAAAGGAAGAAAATAAGTCTGTAATACACTTTTTTTTTAGCTGACCAACTTTATTTATTTATTTATTTATTTATAAATTTTATTTTATTTATTGAATTAAAATCGATTATACATATTTTGGGGGTTGAACATTGAGATATGTTGATCAAATCAATATTACTAGCATATATATTGTTACAAATCATAATTATTCTTTATGCCCCTTGTCCAATCTCTCCTCTTCCTCCTCCCTGTCCCCCTCCCCCCTCTAATTACCCTAGATTTCTTCTCTCCTTCTGAAAGAATACTGGTTACTCTGTTAATTTGTTGCCTAGATGATCTGTCCAATGCTGAGAGGTGTGATCTGATCCCCCAATATTGTCATAGAGCAGATGCTTCTTCTGTCACTATGAAATGGGCTTTGTGGAGAGAGACATCCTCTTCTTTTCTTTATCTCTGCTGGTGACTCTCCTTGTGTGAGTGCACTCCAGAGGTTGAAGGAACATCTGCATGGTGATTGTGGCATCTAGCTGCTTTCATAGCAGCCATGGTTGTTGTGGTGACTGTGGTGGGCCACCCACATGGAGGTGATGTTTTTGGGAGGGTGGTCCAGTCCCCTTCTCCATATCTTGGGTCCCTGGGGTGGGCCCTGAGGCACTGGTATGGTGTGCCTGGTTGTGTGTGGGGGGGTCTGGTCCCTTTCTCCATGCCCTGGGTCCCCAGGTGGGCCCCAAGGTGCTGGTGTGGTGTGCCTGGTTGTGGGAGGAGGGTCCAGTCCCTGGCTCCATGCCTCAGGTGACTGGGTGGGCCCTGAAGTGCTGGCTCAGTGTGTCTGATTGTGGGAGGGGTGTCTGGTCCCCAGCTCCAAGACACTGGTTCCCAGGCAGGCCCCAAGGTGCTGGTGGTGTGCCTGATCTGGAACTAGATTTTTGTCCTTTGCTTACTTCTAACACTGGGGAACATCCTGTGGGAACCAGTAACTGAGCTGTGTGGTTAAGTTAAATTGCTGCTTTGCTGCTGTTTCCCTAGGGAAGGCTTTTTGTGCAGCTCAGCATTTAATGGTTGATCTTATAGGTACTTCCTACTCTCCAAAGACCTGGTGGATCTGTGTTGTGTAGAAACTCTGATCTGGGCCTGAGTTTTTTCATCAAACTGCACCCCATGCAATTCTGCATTCCCAGCCAGTCTCCTCTGAGTGGTCCTGCCCTGACTGGGGGATGGATCGGCTGTCCTTACTGTGCCCCAGTGTTCTCCAGGTGGCCCATCTCCCCCACTGCCTGTGCTGCAAACACTTCCCATGGGACGGGCCCTGCGTCAGTCCCTTGCAATGACTTACCAGCCTCTGAGTGGCTCCCCTTTTTCAGTTGTTCTGGCTCCTTGCTCCTGCGTGGGTCCATGGGAACCCTATTAGTGGTCTACCTGTCCTGGGGGCCGCCAAAGCCCTCTTCTCCCCTGCCATCTCCACATAACTCCATCTGAAGGGCACAGCTGTGGCTTCTGCAGGCTCCTGCTCCATGTGCTCAGCAGCTCCAGCCTTAAAGCAGCCACGGCCCTAAATGCTCACAGCAGTTTTTTCTTTCTCTCATCATGGTTTCTCCCGCCTTCATGAACTCCATAAGTCTCTCCTCCTCTTGCCCTGAGCTCCAGTGTCTCCAGCTTGGCTGATGTTTCATTTTTATAGTTGTAAATTGGTTGATTTGCTGGGAACTGTCTCTTTTGCCATCTTGACCAGAAGTCCCTGTAATACACTTTTAAGAACTATTTTGACAACCTCTAGCCTTTTTTGAGATATAATTTATATACTAAGACCTCTATCTTTTTTTGGTCAGAATGTTTAGGATAAAGCCTGTTGAAATAAGTCTATCTAAAATATTCTGTAATACATAAAAATGTCACCTAAACTTCTTCTATCACCTGACATAGTTTGAATATGTTATTAGCAAATCATTCCATAAGGAATGGTTTGGTATATATGAGGGTACTTCAAAAAGTTCACGGAAAAATAGAATTAAAAGATAATACAATCTTTCCATGAACTTTCTGAAATACCCTCTTAGTTGTAAGAATTCACTGATGATCCTTGTATTTATAAATATATTCCTACATCATTTACTTATGCTAACTGGGAAATTCCAATACGTAAATATATGCTGTTATTTCTAAAGCAGTTGTCTTCCAGGACTGATACTGATTCTGGTAGACTTTTCATTCTGGAACTATGAATGTAACTAATAAAAATGTCTTGTATTTAAATCTTTTCCCACAACTCCCACCCTCCTCTACTCCACAGGATTTACATAGTCTAATTTAATAGGATTAGCGTGCAATATAATAACCACCTTCGCATTCTGTCTGCCTGATATTTCATAATCTTTTATAGATTGAGCTGTGTGATTGTTTTGTGTGATTAAAAGGCATTCTAATAAAGCTTTTTGTATTGCAGACTGGTCTGATGTATTGGCCTTTCGTACAGGTGAGTTTCAGACTACTTGGAATATTAGCCTGTGGCTTTGGTTTATACAGAGCCCTAACAGACTCTCTCTCTGTGTTCCAGCTAACCAACTTCATCTTGGTTCCTGTTCAGTGGAGAACAGCTTACACTGGACTCTGTGGTTTTCTCTGGGCTACCTTCCTTTGCTATTCACAGCAGAGTGGTGATGGTACATTGAAATCAGCTTTCACCTTCCTTCATATGAAAGAGGCCAGTGTAGTTGAAAGGCCTCCAGGGAAATAAGTCAAGTATTCTCTTAAAGTTTTTTTTTTTCCCCTGAAATGGACTGGATTTCCTGCAGATAAAATTCTTGACTTACCAGTTGTGTGCCTCCTTTTGAAGAATTACTATGCCATAGACCCAATTGTTTTTTAATGTTCAATGATAATTTTAAATTTTATGTGAAACTTTCTTTTCCCATTCTAGTCTGAAAGTCTTACTTCTTTAATATTGTCACTTGTCTAATATTTTGGTTAATAACAGTGGTAAAATGGCATTTCAGAATTATTAATATTTCTATTCTGATATTTTAATGCCAGTTTAGGAACTCCAGGTTTTTTTGGTGGCTGGTTGGCACCCCAGTTTTGATTGTTTACCCCTCTATTCTAAAATCTCAGGTTATCTCCTAAACACTTTGGGTCACTTTTATACCAAAAATAGTACTTATAGTAAATTCCTATTTACATAGAGTTCAATCAAAGAGAAGACTGAATAACCAGATTTCTCCCCCTCAATACTGTATGATAATTTATTGTAATGCAGATACTAAAATTCTGAGTACATTTTTTTAATCATCAGAAAAAGAATAGTGTATGATTGGTGTGTTCTGTATAGAATGTATTTTATTACTGTTTTCTGTTTTTATAATTTCTGGGCTGAGTACTTTTTAATTAATGTTTTTTAGTTTTTGATCATATTCAGTTGCATAAGCACACCATTTCCTAGACGTATAAAAAAAAAAAAAAATACAGGTGCTCCTCGACTTACAATGGTTCAACTTAATGACTTTTTGATTTTACAGTAGTGCAAAAGTGATATGCATTCAGTGGAAACCATAACCCCCTCGTAATTTGAGGGATTTATGATAGTTTCAAATTATGATGCTTTTTTGACATGATATTTTTCAGCTTACGATGGGTTTATTGGAACATAACTCCACCATAACTCTAGAAGCATCTATACTCGGGTTCTTAATAAAATATTTTTTTTTTTTTTTTATACGTCTAGGAAATGGTGTGCTTATGCAACT